GTTCAGGTATGTGCACGACATGGGTGTTTAAAGGGCCCTAAATTGAAGTGGTGTTTGTAAAAACCCACTGCTTCAATTTAGGGCCCCCCGTTTCATCTACGCATGCCCTTACAGATCAGTTTTTTCTTTTATAAGAAAGAATAAAACAGACCTTCCTGTTTGCCATTGAAAGGGAGTGCTATATAATGCTCGTAACAGATAATAGCAACATAATGTATGAAGTAATTTTTGCTCCTAGTTCATGTTTGTTTTACTTGCATTTTGTTTGTAAGAGTTTCCTGTGTTCACTTTGTAACATGCTAAGTCTCTGTTCTGTATATTTAGGTTTCGCAGACTTCCTTCTTCCTATGCTATAGAGCTCATCACAGTCTACATCTGGCAGCTGGCTGGGAAACCAATATTTTTCAGCCTTGTTCAGGGCATGAGAGCTATTCTGAAACTCCTGGTTCAGTATTCTGAAATCTGCATCATTTGGTACAAACACTACAGCCCCCATTGCACAACTTTCAAAAAGGTGTTGAAGAAACAAACCAGGTAACAATATGAGAAATTCTGCCATCATTTTAATATAGTCATAATGCTTCTATTTCTGTATAGCTGAATTTGGTTTTCTTCCTCTCAGGGTCATGGAAGGCAAAGCAAGCCTCCATTAAAACATGAAAGTGTCTTTTTTTAACAGGCACATGGTGCCTTCATAGTTTGTGTCAAAACAGTTTTGGGGGCACTCCCCTTAGCATTATAGTTACGGTTTCAGTATACAATGTGACATACATCTCAGAGCATGGACCACTCACATATTGCTGCACATTGAAGGACAAAACCCATGTAATCAGACTGGCTGATAAGCAGATACACGGGCAAAGAAACATCCTTCCCACCTGCTCAATAGACTTCAGTAACTTAATTATAGGAAGGACATCTGAAAGAGTGAGAGAAGGCTGCTCTGCATTTTGTGAACATTCATTAGAGAGATTCAGTAGTTTGGGCATAGTGAACTGTGAATTCTCCTTACAGGAGAATGACTTCCTTCAGAAGACCTCCTAGGAGCTATAAAATAGCTAAATGTTTGCTAAACTATCACTTTCAGTGGTAGCTAATGTCTTTGTTTTAAGTTATGGATTTTACAGATACTATGGCCAATGTCAGGAATGTCAGCAGGGATTAAGAATCCTTCAGAGTGAAGCTTCCTGTTTGTTTGTGGTGTTTTTCTTTTTCATATGCTGTTTTGATCATGCCTAGGACTATGAGGTCCTGGTCCACGACCAGGGTTCTACAGTAATACAGATCATTACTGTGTGGGTCTTGTGTGCATGTTAATTTTCAATTATATAATTACATGTTGAGTCTATTGATAATATTCCTTGTAGAAAACCTTTCATAAACAGAGGGGCAGATCAACAGGGAGTGCTTTTGTGTGGTTGCACCTCTGTTTTGGACCATGCTGTGGAAGCAGCAGCTGGGGACTTTTACCGAATTAGGTAAGAATCCACGCGCCCCCCACCCCTCTACTTCCTTCCTCATCATTTTCAGAGGCACATCCCCTTTTCCCCACTCACCACTGCTGCTGTCCCCTGCTGATCCAATGGGAGAGTGCTCCAGAGCCCCTCCAGTCAAGCTGCATGGTCCTCCTCCCTGTCTGATCCCCCTGGGCATTCCTCACTAGCCTAGGTACACGGTCAGAGAGGAGAAACCCACTCACCACTGCCATTGTCTCCAGCTGAGCTTGGCTTCCTGTACAGTCCTACTGGAGCAGAGCAGAAGCAGCTTTGGAGCTTCTCCCACCCCTGTATCAGCTGGGGACAGTGGCTTGGCAGGCAGGGGATGAAGACAAAGGAAGGGAAGAGGAAGGAGGGGGCACCAAGAAAGGGGGGCAGGATTCTTACCTGATTCAGAATTTAAAAAATGTCTCTGGCTGTTGTCTCCACAGTGTGGTCTGCCCACCTCAGTGTGTGGTGGGGAGGCTGGAAGGAGGAGTGTAGCCTCCCCTGAAGTGTTGGTCACTGCTCCCACACTCCCTTTTACAAAATCCTGGATCTGCCCCTGCATATCCATGATGCCAAATATTTTATAATAGTTTTAATGTTTATAATGGTATGAATATCGTCCTCATAATCTCATGCATCTTTACAGAATTCTTAAGTATTAAGCTTCCTCTTCTGGTCTACGGTATGCATTTTAATAATTTTTTTCAGCACTTGTGCTACATATTTTGTCTTCAGTCAGTATTCCAGCTTTGGATAGCAGCAATTCAGAGAATGTAGTTAATTATAATCTGCAAACCAAACTACTCTATCTCCCCTAGCATTTTTTTCATTATTATTTCCTTAGTATATTTTATCTGTTTGTAGGTACAAAATAGTATGTAATTTTCATATAAGTGAGTTGTGTACTGTATATTCAGTACAACAGGAACTTGCACATGTTGAAAGTTGTAGGAAATGTTGTGGATGTGATATCATCATGAAAGATGCTCAAGGGACACAATTAAAGTTGTATATGCATAGATGACTACCATTTTTTTCTTTCATGTACTTATTAAAAATACTTGTTATTTAAGTGATAGCTTGAAGAGATAGAGAAATTGGAAAAGGTAAGTTTCATAACCAGAGAAAACAGATGATGCTATGTGATGCCAATAATGAAAACTAGTTGAGAATGGAAAGCTCAAAACTCCTCCTGCTTTAACTTCATGGCCCGTGTATTATCAAATTCACTCCAGACTGTGCTTTCTTTGCTCACTGAGAGGGTAAGCAGGTCTCTTGGGAGGCTTGCTTAATGTATAACTTCATAAAGGAAGGAGCAGGAGGATGGGGATATAAGGGCCCCTCTACACGTACAGGTAAAGGCAAGGTGGGATTGAATGCGCAATCCATGAATCACCACACATGCATGGCAAGAAGTGTGAATGTGGTATCACATATTAGATCCCATCGTGACTTACTGCCAGCGCGGAGGAGAGCCCGATCCTGGGCTCTGCCCTGCATGTGCACATGGCAGGAGGCATAATGGTGAGATCGTGTATTAGATTCTATTGTACCTTATTGCTGGTGCCGAGGAAGCCTCATCCCAGGCTTCCCCTGCACTGGCAAGAAGCAGGCACTCATGGCTGGGAGCCCCACTGTGGGGTTGCTGTATGGGTTCTCCCGGTCTGGGGGTGTGTGGTGTGCCCCTACAGCTGGAGGATTGCAGCAGCTACCATCTCCCAGCCCTGGGACTGCATGGGGTGCCCCTGTGGCTGGGAGATCACAGGGTAGTGCTGGGACCCAGTGTCCGCAGTTGAGGGACTGTGTCCCAGCACCATGGGGTGCTGTTGGGACCCTCAGCTGTGGGACTTCTAGCCCTGGCTGGGCATGGTGCACCCCTGTGGCTGGGAACCTGGTCAGTCAATGGGGCTCCCAGCCACAGGGGCAGACCCTACTACGTGTGCAAATTAAAACTGCATAGCAACCAGCTGTAGAGTTAGCACACACTTTTGAGGTCTAATTGGAGCTTTTTATGGCATGATAGCTACTCTGCACATGGAGCTGGTCTCCACAATTAATCAGTTAATTATGCAATAATTGTAAAGTGTAGAAGGAACCTACATCACTGTTAAGGACACTAGTGAAGTGGAAATAGAATAGATGAGGCAAAAATCCAATGATGTCTTATTTTTGGCACCGAACGTATCTTCAATCACCTTGATTTTTACAACATATTTGAAACACCAGTTTTCTTTGTTTTTATCTTAAGATAAAAACAGTTACTCATGATACTGGACTAACTCTGCATTGGCTAATGTCTAAATCAGTGCTATATTTGAGTCCTACTAAATAGCTAGATCTCAGATTTGGTAGTGACATCTATTTTGAGTCTTATCATTTCTTTTTCTCTCTCTCAGGCCATTTGTTTTGGATCCTGCAAACCCAACTTTTAATGTGTGTGAGAACAGCAATGCCTGGGATGAAGTGGCTCATGTAGCAAGACGGAGCCTTCTTAAGCCTCTTTTTAATGGTGTACCATCAAAGAAGCCCTGGCTTTTTACAAACAGCTGGTAAAAAACAGATGGGCTGACACTGTCAGTAAAAGTCCTGTCTAATAGGGCATATAATTCAGGTCTTTTAATAGGAATATTCCAATACATGGCAACATGAATAAATCAGAAAGAATGAGGGCAGGATCTTTTTTTGTCTGTCCACTAATTAAAGTAACTAATATTTTTTTGTCATTACTGTGTAATTAACTGAATGCAATACGTTATTCTATTCAGGGAATTAATTCTACTGTTGTGGTTTCATGCCTTTGTGAAGAAGGAGCTGAAAGTTGTGTTTCCTATTTCTTCCTTGCAGAGGTAAAGAGTTCAAGCACTGGAGCAAAGAGGGAAACATTTTATAGCCCTCTGGCTTTTAGTTGTTATAAGCTACTATAGTCTTTTGCTTCCCAGGTCCCTGGGGCAGCAATGGAATTCCATAAAATGTTTGAGCATCCTTTACTTAAATGTCCCATTGAAAAAGTTCTGTGGTTGCACACTAAGATGATTTTATATCTCCATAACATCTGGCAACTCACTGTATTGCAATATATAAATACAGGGAGGATGTACAATAGTCTCTCTCAATACCTCATTTATTTCCAGAGAATCTTGCTAACCACATACCAGTATCCCTTGAGTTCAATATCAGAATAAGGTATGAAATATAAAGAATAGATAAATTAGTATGCAGACTCTACCTATTGTATATTCTATGTAGGCAATAACAGTTTTAGTTTGTGATGATAGACTGTTGTTGTATTGGTACAACATAAACTATTGGGCCTACAACAGAAGAGTCCCCTGGGAAGATGAGCTGGAGGGAGTGCATGTTTTGCTAGAATACTAATATTAATTAGTAACAAAGGAAAAACAGGATGAAGGGTATATGACAAACATGCAAGGGATCTGATGCTCCAAAGTGCTTGAGCAGCAGGGGCAGGCAAAAGGTGAGGGAGAAACATGACTGAAACTACAGGAAAACAGAAATGTGGAAAGTAGTCATCGTTTATTTCCTCTGAGTTGAATGCTGTGTCCACCAGAAAGCAGATTACATTATTCAGTTACTTTGCAGTAGCACAATGTGCTGTTATGCAGAATTTCACCATTTCAGTATTAATTTGGCTTTGCATAGCTGTATTGATTTCTCTATGGATGGATCTTTCCCTTTCTTAGAATGAAGTAGCTGTTAGGAAAAATTAAACTTTCTAACATTGGAAAAATTAAACTTTTAGCTTTGAAAAGCTTGTCAGAAGTGATCAGTCCATTTTAGGTGTCCAGTATAAGTGCTTATTTCCACATACAAGAGACAAAAGTGTACATACAGTTTTTCCAATACATTGACATTCATGTTCTGCTATTTTAAATACTTTGTGGTGCTTAACCACCATATTGATGGGAGTTAAATGGGCAGTTAAAATAATCATCATACATACAAAATGGAGCTTGTGTAATTTGCTGGTCCTGATGCTGTGTAAGACTCATTATGCTTGCAGAATTATTGCAAACTTGAAGCCCACCCTGAATAAAGGGGTTAATGTTTTCTTAATGAAAAGGGGATGTATTACGTTTGCTCTTAGAGCCAGACAGTTACATAGTCTATCCCTTGATAAACCAGAATAATTAACAATGCAGATTTTTAGTTTCTATGTCAGTGACATAATTGGCAAGATTCCCATTTAAGAATTTGAATTGTGCTTGTAGATGTTCTCCAGTTTAATATGGTGAAATGTTTCTGTAAGGTAGATTTCTGTTTGTAGTAAACTCTCATACTTGATGGTTCCTCATTAAAACATAAGTTTCTTAAATGAACAGAAATAAAGAAAGAACAAAGTCAGAATTAAAAATACATAATCTTGGTCCTAACTGATTCTGAAGCAGCAGCTGGTTTCTTTTCTATCCTTCCGTAGATGCTGCTGGGACACATAATAGAAATGATAGTTTTTCTTTCCCTCCCAGGATACTTAGTGACTAATTTCCACCCAAAGTCTGGGAAGGCTGGCATTAATCACATTTTATTTATTCTATTTACTTTGATGTCAGCAGTCAACTGCGAATGCGGTTCCATTGTGGTAGGCATTGTACAAACACAGAATAAAGACAGCATTCTCCCAAAGAATTGATATGCAAAAAAACTGACACTGTAAAATTCTTCTCTCTGAAGGTACGATTAAGTTCTCTTGCTTCTATCTCCTTCTAAGAGCAGAAACTCTATCATGCTTGTTGAACAACTCTTAGTTTACTCAGTACCTACCTGTACCCTAACTTTACTTACATTTCTTTAAAAAAGTCATATAGTTTCAACATACCCATCTCTACTTCTTAAAAATACACGACAAAAGTGTTAAGGCAGAATTTTGTGAGAGGCAAACACTCTTGTGAATAATATTGGACCAACTGCACAGTTCAATAAAAGATATCACTCATAAGAATCCTTGCCCGTCACATTTTCTGGACCATCACAGCTACAAGATCACTTCTACACTGCCAAGACAGGGATTTGCTAGACTGAAGCTTCAGGGAAATGCCCTTAAGTGATCCCTGCAAATAAGCTATTAGTATTTTTTATTCATACTCTGTTTTACATAGTAGGAGACAATGCATTTCAATATTGTTGGCTGTCCTTTGCTTACATTTTTGGACTTCAGTAATCCAAATAATAATGCACAGGTCAACAACCTGTGGCCTATGGGATGTGAACCATTGGGGCTGGTGCGTTGGTAGTGTTTAGGTGGTGTGCCTTGGTGGCATTTGGTGGTGGTGGGGCTTTGCATACACTGCACTGAAGCTGGACAGTTGGGAGAAGCAGGTAGCAGCTATGTCCTAATGTTGGCCCACGTTGGACACAAGCTGGGCCATTTTAGCCTGCCACTGGACAATGCTGTTGACTGCTGATCTAGTGTTAACAGAGCTAGGTAAGATAACAAATACTGTAATAGTGTGTTGTTGCAAATGTAGTGATGCTATTTTGTTCTATGTTTTTTAATCAGAAGGACTGTCTGGGCATTAAGACTAAATATCCCTTACATCTCTGCAACCTGGGGAACAGTTTGCACTGATCAACAAATATATAGTTAGGCCAGAAAGAGAGAGAGAGAGAGAGAGAGAGAGAGAGAGAGTGTGTGTGTGTGTGTGTAATTGCCATCACTAAGTTTTCTCCAGGGTGTCCTCAAGCTATCTACAGTGTAATAACATTAATATACTAAATGACCAAAGTACTTTTGTGCTGGCCTGAAGCAGGAAAATAATACCTGCCTTCAAAAATAAGATTTTCTCAATTCTAGTGGTTTCATAATTTAAAACAGCAAAGGAAAGCAACTTCTACTACTTCCATAGATGGCCGAATCACCAAGGATTAGTATGTTAGAGTTCA